TGAATCATAAAGCTGATATCAAGGCAAATCGAGAGCTGAAATAATTTGTGTTAATCTCGTCAACAATGTAACAATATAGCATCAAGCCGGAAAAAATGATAACCTGCATTCATTAGTAGTTAATAGAGTCCACTTTGTGCATGACAAACAAGAAATATTTTATTTCGAACTGAACACAGTACCGGAAAGTGAGAGTAGGCGTTATGGTAGTGAAATTGTTATCAAATTATTACTATTCAATAGTAATGATTTGCGATTCTTACTGACTGCTAATAATTGAGATTTTGTTCAAAAACTAAGCTATGCTTAATAAATAATCACAAAAGTTGTAAGCATTATCTAACCAGAATAAAGTATGTACAAAAAGTATCGCAATCCAATTGGCAAAATATCCAGTTATTTCAGCCACCAATACAATTCAAATATCCTGAAAACACAGTATCGATATTATTATTACTATTATTATTATTATTATTAATTCCATGCCAGACATAACCTTGTGACTACGACTGGGATCAAATCTCAAGAAATCTTCGCTGTCCTTATCAAATCCAATAGAACTGTCCTTTGGGTCGTCTCAGTTCTCTCAAGAAAATCTCTTTGTGAGAGTTATTAGAAAGGCTGTCGAGAACTCATTTTTATCGTTTTTTATGAACCTGACCATTACATTATTGTTATTGTTGTTGTTGTTAATCCACTTCAAGTAAATCAGAGATCAATAAGAATAAATTATATCAAAATAGTTTTTAATTCTTATTTACAGATGATAAGATTCATTTGTTGATTTATTAAAATATTGTAAATTGTGGGCATATAAGGTAACAATACACACACACGCATATATATATATATATATATATATATATATATATATGTGTGTGTGTGTGTGTGTATGTATGTATATATAAAATCCCAATAATTTGTAAATGTTAATTTGTTAACAGTTGAATTGACTGTAAACTTATCGGATACCATGAAAACTTCTAATTTCGATGAGTAAAGTCAATAGAAACACTAAAATGAAGTCCTTAAATTACAATTTTAATTTACGCTAAACTTTTTGTTTAATTTTTTTAACATAAAATGTGTCAGTTTTTAATCGGTTAAATATTTTAACAAAATTACAAATTTTTAAACCTTTTTTGCTTAGCAAGAATTAAAATTTTAAGTAAAAATTTATATAATTTTGATGCAGATGAAACCTCTACTTTTAAAAAAATAAAATTTTAAATTTATGGTTTAAATAAAATATTCCCAAAATATACCAGAAAATGATGACTGATTTACGAAATGTTGCATTGTTTCAAGAAAAAAATTGGGTGTGTTCCTGGAAAAAAGTTGATTTTGGAATGAGTAAAGTCAAGTAAAATAATTTCGTTGTCGTTCTGTGGCGGATCTTCCTTCTAGTTTCAGAATTTTCTAATTATTTTAGTAAACCAAGAAAACTAAGACGTTTTCGCTCGAATCCATTTTTTCAGATCCAACACCAAATTCTCTCTGATGAAAATCTGTTTAAACAAAGCCTAATAATTTTCATTCGGTTTAGAGATGTGAATAAAGGAAGGTTATTTTATTACGAAAATAGTTCTGCTAACTGATCAATGAGCACAAGTCTTTTGGGTGTGTCTGAGTTAAAAGATAATAAATAAATAAGTATTAGATTAAGTTGGATTTTCTCAACGAATTTATTTAAAGTTTCAATGAATTACATTTTCTTTCATTATTTTTAGTTTTTTTCTTCCAATTAAATCTGATTAACGACAATAACAACTTGTTTTCATTTAATGCTTGGTATTCCACAAATTATAGATACAGCTAAGTATAAAACAGAAGAGATTTTCTTTTTTTTTTTTTGTTAGTTTCTGCCCAATTATTTTCTCTTTTTCTTCTCATGGATAATTTATGAAATTTTTATAGTCACCATACAACTGGTTGGTACTAAGGAATTACGCCCTCCATTATCGTTTGTTAAACAAATTTAATATACCACTGTCATTCGTTAGTAGGGTTCCTCAAGTTTTTCTTTCAAAAGACACTTGAAACACTTTAACGCAAATAGTCTGATGTAAAATGAAAAGCAAATTCGAATCCTAAAATCTAATCGATATTATACTCACTTGAGCTGATTTCGTTACAATAAATATTTTGTATTTTTAGATTATGAAACTTTTATATTCCCTGAAAAATTTTGGTTGATTTCGAAATAGGCTAAAAAATGATTATCGACATCAAAATATTTATTAAGATTTAAAGATTATTTTGTACATACTTCATATTATTAATTCATACACGCCAAGTAATTAACGACGAAGATGAAGAGTATACAACTATACAAGTGAATACAAGAAGGTAAGTTTAAAGAATTCAGTGAAAAGAACAAGGGGAATTCCTAAATAATGAAGTTATAAATAAAAGAAAGAAGAGAAAAATATATTTGGGATATGTTTCAATTGTCAAATTCCTTCTTTGACGAAAGCTTACTTCCGAATTGCCAATGGTATGTTCCTTAGTGAGAGAAGTGGTTACATCGTTACACCTGACCATATAAGGAATGAGATGACGGTGCGCTTCTTCTGCTCATTACCGTATTAGTTCACCTGTCTACTATTTATTACCGACTGACTCAGGGGAGTATTCTTACATTCGCACACGCAGACATATATGTGCGAAAGTTGCTATATATATATATATATAACAGTCATATATATGTGTGTGTCTGTGTGTTTGCACTTGTTTGTGTATGTACGTGCATGTGTCTGCTTGTAGATATGATTGCGCATGTTTAGTGTAGCTTCATTTTCTTCATCATATCTAGATAATTTTTTGTCCGTTTCTTTGTATGTACGCGTGCTAACGTATGTAAAGTTGACGGTGGAGATTAGGTGTTTTATTAATATCATGTGTCTAAGTAGTCAACAGTTACAGTTATCTTTCTTACCATCTGAAAGGTCTTCTCTATGTAAGAAAACTTATATTTCAATTTGTTGTCTCAGTGGATAGTCTAGATATAAATGATTTAAGCGTTTTTTCTTGCTCTAATTTTTCATTCTTCCTGAATATGATTTTCTGTTTTAATGATTTAACCTATATGCAACCAGTTGATTAGCTTTTTGTCTGGATATTTATCAGTTAACTTGCTAATTAAAAGGATTACAGCCCCATTACAAATGAAAATGAAAAATATTTTTAGTGGCGAGAAAAAAATACAATGGATATTTTCGACGACATATATGTTTGTGGATAGTAGAAATCATCGAACAAAAGTCATTGCTGCCAAAAATGAATATTTTTTTTATCAAATGAATTAAACACAAATATCGCATATTTCATATCTGGTGGGATTTGGCAAATTAAATAAATTCGTGCTTCCCTGATGATTTGTTTATGTAAATAGATTAGTAGGCAGATCAATTGCTCTTTCGAAAAACAGTTGTTTCTTTTTTGCAGTTTAGATGTTTGTAATATAAGGAAACGCTTTGGGACATAAGCGTTCAAGAAAGCTAAAAAAGATAAGGAAGTTGATTTTAAGTTATTTTCATTAAAGAATTTGATATTTTTTTCATTCTTTTTTTGTCTTTGTTAGCAATTTAAAAATGACTTATCAATAATTAAATACGGTATTTCAGTAGATTCTTGTTCATATATCATTTATCAGTCAGTAACTAAAATTTACAAACTATTTTAGCAGGATTTTCAAATTAATTTGATGAAAAAATAGAGCCCAGAACTAAAGACATAAAATGTTGTGTAGCAAAAGGTGTTTTAAGGAAGCCGGTTTCTTTGAAACTAACAAGAGCATTTCAGTTAGTAAAAACATACAACTTCCTTTTATTACATGAGAGAAAGTGCATGACATTCAAGGTGCTACAAGGACAAACACCGAAGTGCAAATCATGTTACATTTAAACGAGTGTTGATAGTTTATTTCAACAAAATACTGTTTGCCTGCGAATTTTGGTCTTTTCAAATTTTTCGAATTCTGTGAAAGCATATGTTCAAATCATGCAATGTATTTAAATATGTGAGTTTGAATGTTTTAATAGTTGTAATTACAATTTCTTAAATTAAAATCTAATTTAATGGCATTAATTTGAATCAGCTACAAACAAGCATCAACATATCTCATCTCAAAATTAAGTGCTTTTTATTAGCTTGAAATAAACACTGTATGTATGGATATATATTTATTTGAATAGAAATAAAAAAAATACACGTGCTCTTTAAATACATGTTCAGGGTTATATTTCAATTGTTTTCTCTTTTTGTCCGCGCAATTCACATGAGAACATTAAACTCTCAAGCGCCACAATATCAGAACAATTGAGTGTTTTCAACCGAAAACAATTGAAATATTAAATAAGATCACAAACTTTTAGAAAATAACAAAAGAAAGAAACTTTACATTCATTCTTAAAAGGAATATTCAATTAAAAAAAAACCTTAATCACTTTCCTTAAAAACAAAACATTTTTATGTTTCAAAAACTTAAATTTCACATTCTTGGTATTTTCACCAAGTAATAAAGATTTTCATAAAATCAGTATTGCCTGAAACCATACTGATGTATAGAAACACTCATACATAAAAAAAAACAATTGAAATTTATATGTAACTGTGCACCAATGATCATTTAAAAACATGAATTTACATAATGTTTTAATGATTATCTAATATTTGCATTTCAGTGAAACAATAAAATAAGCTGGTGTCAAATGTTCTGTGTTAATTTTATATTGTTGCGTACATGAATGAAAACAAATTATTTCTTTCTCCATATTCGAACAAATTTATTGTGATATTTGCAACAAACAATTGGAAATAAGCAATTACGTGCTACTTCCGTAAGCATTACATCGAGCAAATGCTGGGTGCAAAAGGAAAGCAAGTGAAGAGAGCTTAAAATATAGGCTAAGTGAACTATTGCATTTCAATCGAAAAGCGAGAGTGACATTAAAATGCTAGTGAGTCTAAGATTCGGTCAGTAAGCGAAAATTGCTTACCTCCAATCTGTTCTGAGTGGTGGGAGAGGTGCCTCTGTACACCTCATAGCGACGCACGGAGCGTGTAACTTTCACGTCGGAATCGTAGTCCATTATATTCTGTTGATTCGATCAAAGGAAAATATTTGCAGTGTGATACCGAAAAGGGCTACAGAATAAGGCGGCAAAATGTGTTCCTATATGCTCAGCTGGCACAGAGCTGACCACCTGATAAATAGCAGACTTATCCGAACGCCCGATACTGATTCTTAAATACCGGGATGCCACCGTATTTATACCGGCCAAGATAGAAAGCATTCGCCAGGTGGCGCAATCAACCAACCGGCGGTTGCTTCCATGGGTGATGAGTGATTCAGGCAGTGTAACTTGATAGTCTTGGAAGTCAAAGATGGTAAGCCCTGCCTCAGATGGGGTAGAAAAAGTTAAAATGTGTGAGGAGGTAAGTTCGCTGGTAATAGTGGCAGTACTCATAGCAGTAATACCATATGCACATTTCCTCTTCTGTTTCCCAACCTCCGTTTTTAGTTTGATTTTCTTCTTAATTTTTTATAAGTTCTTCTTTTCTGACTGAATGCAATCCTTTACTAATTACTTTCTCCTATTCTTTACTTCCTCTTTTTCTTATATTTTGACACTTTCATCTATTTCTTCTTTTCCTCTTCATTTTTTACTCTATATATATAGCAAGAGAAAGATAATGAAAAGATCAACCACTTTCAAACATTTTCTTTTTCATTAGTACTCCTCCTAGTGTTATTTTCAGTCCACACACTTTTCTCCCATTTTATTTTTCTCGTCACATTTCTTTATTTCGTTAAATGTCATTCTCTTTCATTTTCATTATTTTTACTTTCTTTTTTTATTCCATTCATGCCACCCATTTTCTTCTATCATTCTTCATACCTTTAACCATTTTTCTCTTTTCGCTTCCATAACTTTTCTTTTATCTTCAGCTATTGCATAAGTTTTTTTTTTTCTTTTCCCCTGTACAACTACCTCAGCAATTTTTTCTTTCTCGGTTAATATGACACTTTTTCTTTACATTCTCATCAATTTTCTTTCTCGGTAGACATTTTGCATCAACCTCGTTTCCTGATTTTATACATTTTTACTCGTTTACCGATAATACATGCCATTTGATTAATGATTGTCTAATATTTTATCTCTTAAGGATTATAAGGCGGAGTTTGAACTAAAGAAGCACATTTTTAGAAAATTGTTTCATTTTTTCCGATTAAAATTTTGTGTCTGGTATTTTCAAATTATGCTTAATTGAAGTTGATAATTCAGCGAGAAAAAAATGAATTAATAATTGCTCATGTATCAAGAACTCAGTATGATAAAATGTTTTATTTATGAGATGTCCTTTGCAATTAATAAAATGAAAAAGAAAGAAAAAACAGGATAACATTTGAAGATTCATTGAGAAAATAAATGGTGACATTTTTACAGTGATATATTGAGTATTTATTCGTTTGAGCTGAAAGTGAAAGAAGGAAGAGATAGATAAAATGGAAAAAGAAAGAAGTGATGAGTAAAAAGAAAGACAATTGAAATCTATAAACCCAAGAAAAATTTAAATGCATATTTATTTTATCATTTGACTTTTTTTGATATTCATTTAAATGCATTTCAACATTATAGAGATTAACTAAGCGTCCTATACAAAACAACAAAAATGGGGCTCGAAATGAAGCTGAACTCGTTATACTAAGGAACAGAGTAGATCGCAAAGCATTGCTCTATTGCAGGCGCCTAATTAATCGCAACCTTGCAACCTTGTTTAGCCTTATATATATAGGCTTGCACACACACACACATATATATATATCATTTCTCTGCATACACTCATAGGCAGTTTATGTGCAAAAAGGGTGGCGTTTTTTCTCTGTTTAGAAAATTGAATTTGACAAAAAAAGTAGTAAAAAACTAAAACACAGAATCGTGCAAGAATGTAATCTTTTCCTTTATCCCTTACTTGATTTAATATTAATTCTTTCAACTTTCTATTTGAATTTTCGAAATTTTTTCTCTCTGCTTTATCTTGCCACTTTATTCCCTTTTTTCCTTTTTTCCCCTAGTTCTTCAGAGAATTTTTTTTTACGAATTCTATCTATTCTATTTTTTTCTTCACAATTCTCTTTGGTAACAAGTTTCCGTGTCTTTATTCACCTCATTCACTTATTTTACCCCTTTGCTTTATCTTTGTAGCTTTTTTCCATTTTCATTTCTAACATCCCTTCCTATACAGTCCATCACTTATCTTTCTCGTAGAAAAAAAACTGTAGACTTTTCAACACATACATACACGTGCACATTTTTCTGTGTATGCGTATGTGAACCTTTCTTTTTATTTTCCTCTACGTACTTTACTAACCTACGTATCCACTTACTCATGATAAAGACAACCAGTAGCGTCATGACGTGACGTATGAGGAAGTATGCGAAGCCAAATAAGTACCTAGCAACAGCTGATGTGTTGTTCAGCTACCACCAGAAGCACGACTCGCATTTCTTTCACTTGCAGACTATGAGCGGGTACTAAAAATGGGAGTATGGAAAAGGACTTCATATGTCTGTCATGTCCTCATTGACTTTTTTATCACTATCTGCCTCATTCCCAAGATGCATCCGTGTTTATATTAGATTCTCATTCTACAGGCTAAGTTCCGCGTAGCTCATATTGAAGAATCCAAATATTAAGATATATCAGTGAAATAGTTCAACTAAACGAGTAAGCTTATTTCAACTTTACGAAAACTTATTTCAACTCATCAATTCTCGTTGTAGAAAAATGTTTGGGTGAACTCACAGAATTGAATTAAGATGAGGAAACACTTACAGTCTTCAGTTACAATAAAAGGCATAAAAAAGACGGCTGGCAATGAACAAGTAGAATCGAAAAATGTCTTTCTTAACTAGTTTCACCTTGCTCAAGCAAGTAATTTTTTATCGGCGAAAGTAAACCGCCTGGTTCTCTCTGAAACTACTTAGCAGTTTAAAGAATGAGTTAAAAAGATGATTGCTGTTAAAGACGTGAAGCGTAACAACGTCTGCCATGCTTAGATTCTATAAGACAGCTGCCGCAAAATGAAGTGCAAGATCTGCAGACGTAAAAATAACAACTCTTCACATAACAAAGAGTATGGTGACCTTTTTCAGTTACTAAACATAAGATCTGTTTCAGAACTAAATTTATGGAATTTCCGGCAAAGCCAATAACTTCTTTAAAAAACAAATATAGGAAGATGAAGCAACTTAAACGTGAATTCATTTCTTTTTTATGTTTGCTTCATTTTTAAATGCATCATGCCAGCTGGTCTAATGGGTTTTCGAATGATTACTGCCTACTTCTTCTTCTTATTTCCAGTACCTACTAGGGATTTTATTACATTTGTCACATTATTTTAACATCTCAGTTAGTCCAGCTTTTTTAGAAGCGCTTTTAACATGATGTAGATATTTTTTAACAAGAAGGCATAAAAAGACGAATTAATTAATGATTACTTTTGACAAAAATGCTTCTCTTTTCTATTGGAACGGAAGAAACAAGTTACTTTGTGATGGTCGAAATATTGAAATTATATTTTACCAAAATCAGCAATTAATAAATCTTGGCCTTCACAAGTTGTTAATAAAATAAGAGATTGAAAAGCTGTAAAATACTGACACAATTTACCTCTCTAACTGAGAATACAATTATTCTCTTGTTATTGTTGAAGTTACCAATCCATTTTAAGTTTTTATTTTAATGAAATTTAAAGAAAAACCGTTAAATTAATATTTTTGATAAATCAAAACTGCATTAAAATTGTCAAAATGGATTTAATTTTAAAAAAAAGTATGTTTCCGACGATGACACGAAATAGATCGTAAATTTGATCAATAGCAATATAATCTATAGTTTTTGTGTATCTAATGAAATAAATAGTGAAATTTAACGTCTCTTTTAGGCGTAAAGTGTGTTTATCGAAGTGTAATTTGCTGTCATAATTAAATAATAATAATAATAATAATGATAAAGGTCAATTTTTCGTAAAAGAATTTCTACTTTGAACTTAGGAAGATAACATTTATAAAGACAAGACCGAAGATGAGACAAGGTTAATATAAATACATTTCTACAACTTTCTCTTAGTAAGACTTATAAACATCCTCTGATGTTTATGATGCGGTTGATCGTCTTTTTGGGGGCTTTTGATCGCCACAGAAAATGGTTAAGAATGTAGCACTCTCCTACTTTAGGACTGACCTTCTCTTGGAAGTGTTATACAGCGGTTCCAAAAGTTAGTAAAATTAAATTTATTATTATTTATTACATTTCTATTTTAACTGAGTTCAATTTTTGTTTGTAGTGACTTTTACAATGATTTAAAATTTTTTCGATAGTCTTTAAAATGGCGATACCATGTTTATAGTTGATTTATCGTTATTTTAAAGACAAATAGGTCAACTTAAAATTAAAATTTAGAAAAAAACCTTTTCTTTGTTTATTGCCAAATGTTCTTTCTAATCTATTTCATTGTATTATGTCTATTTTCTATTTCTACTTGTAAATTCTATTTCACCTGTCTTTTCTATCTTTACTTCGACCATGCTTCTCCCTTCTTCACTCAAATTACCAGCATCTCCTCTTTCTCCTTTTTATCGGTCTGCCTTTACATTTTTCTATTTCTACTTTTACATCTATTCCACGTTCATTCACCGTCACCCCGTATGCCAAAAATTTGTTGTAGATATTTTTCTCCATCAAAAGGTTATGGTCCAATTTTTCACTTGTGTCATCACCAACTGACTTTTCGTTTGCAAAATTTATCTTTTCTAGTTTTCTGTTCATCTTTTAAGTCATGACAAGAGAAATCGTTTTGACAAAATAATGACTATTAAATAAAACTGTTTAATATGTTATTTATCGAACATCTGGACTATTGTCATCATCTTTGTTGTTGTTTCACAACGTTTCCCCTGTTATATCCTCCGTTCTTCATCCGGTGTATGTCGATCCGTATAAACGTACAGGGAATTTCAAGCTAAACTCTCTATTTAATCTCGTTCTTGTTCCACTGCCTATATCTAGTCTAGTTATTTAGTAC